GATTTTGCTCTTAGGCGTACCTGTTCCCCTGTATGTTATGGTCTCCGAGGAACTCGTCCAGCAGTTTCTTGAATGATTCCACACTCTTAGCCAAGATCACTTCCTGCGGCAGCGAGTTCCAGACCTTAACCACTCTGACTGTGAAGAACCCCATGCGCCCTGTGTGTTGAAATTTTTTTTCCACCAATTTTTGGTTGTGCCCTCTGGTTTTTGTTATGGAGCTAACCGTAAACAGTTTGTTAATAATGTTGCTGTCACCCTTGAATAGTTTATACAGGAAAATCATGTCTCCCTTTCATCTGCCATACAGTTGCCCACTCACCGATTTTCTCCAGGTCCTCCTGTAATGTTATAATCTCTAAGTCTGTGTCTACTACCCTCCCAATTTTAGTATCATCAGCAAACACTGAGACATTACTATTCACTCCCTCCCCGATATCATTAATAAATAGGTTAAAAAGCATGGGACCCAGCACAGAACCCTGGGGCACGCCACTCATGACCTCCGCCCAGTCTGAGAAGGTGCCATTTACTGATACTCTTTGCGCACGTTCTTGTAGCCAGTTTTCTATCCACGTGCACACTATTTCATCTATGCCCATAGCCCTTAGCTTGTATAACAAGCGTTTATGCGGCACCGTATCAAAGGCTTTGGAAAAGTCCAGATATATTATGTCCACTGGCCTCCCCCTATCCAGATCTTTACTTACCTCTTCGTAAAAGGTCAGCAGGTTGGTCTGGAATGAACGATCCTTCCTAAATCCGTGCTGCATATCAGTTATTATGCCCTGATCCCGGACGAATTCCACTAGGTAATCCTTAATAATTCCCTCTAATAGTTTACATACTATGCATGTCAGACTAACTGGTCTATAGTTCCCCGGTTGGCATTTTGACACTTTTTTGAATATAGGTACCACATTAGCCCTTCGCCAGTCGCTTGGCACTCTACTAGCCATTACGGATTCCTTAAAAATGAGGAACAGTGGTCTCGTTATCTCCTTGTTCAGTTCCTTGAGTACCTTGGGATGTAGATTATCAGGTCCTAATGCTTTATTTGCATTTAGTAGTTTAAGCCTTTGTTGTATCCCAGTTTCAGTCAACCACTCAAGTGTATTTCTTGGTAAATTTTGTGTTTTTTTATGTACATTAAACCCGTCTGTTTCCTCTGTGAATACCGACGAGAAGAAAGTATTTAGGGCCTCGGCCCTCTCCCTGTCGTTTGTGAGTAGCGACCTATTTATGTCCTTTATTGGGCCTATCTGTTCCTTTCTCCCCTTTTTACTGTTTATGTACTGATAAAAAATTTTGGGGTTCTTTTTACTAACTTCGGCGATAGAGTGTGATTACAGTGCGTTCCAGCAGCTACCGCTCTAGTACGTACGGCAATTGGTGTGAACTGGCCCTTAAAGTGCAACTAAGGGCTTGTTCACACCAAATGCAGACCAGATCTGCATGAGTTTCTGCTCAGTTAAGTGAGAATCATCAGAGCTTCGTCGTCTATGGCCAGCATTAGTAAACTACAGCCTAAAAGGGATGTAAAGTGTTTTTTTGAGGTATATATTTTCTTGTTCAGGGCTATTCTTTTAGTAATGTAATAAAATATTGCATATTATGGATATCTTATATTTTATTTACAGCCAGCAGTTGTAGCTGTGTACCCCTTTTCAAATGTTTACCAGTGTAATCTTAACAGATAAAAAGGCCTGCTTGACAAACCTCAGTAGCTCAAGCTTACATTTACACACAACTGAATAAGTCCAAGGAATATCTTATGCCTCGTCTGTTTCCTCCTATTCCCTGCTCTGTACAGTTTCATACAGAGTTTCAATTAAAGGATGAGGGTCAGAGAGCAAACAGAAAACGTATAAACAAAAGCATTTACACAGAACTACTAAAGTTTCCTTTTATTCACTAACTCCTCTTTGTTAACACAGAAGTCCACAAATGTATGAGGATCTCAGCCTTTAGGTACAGGAGTTAGACTCCCCTCCTCTATGGTGTAAGCCAGCATTTCTTAACCTTTTTTCAGTCACGCACCCTTTAAATGTATGCAAAATCTCAAGGCACCCCTGTCTAAAATGTAGTGGATTTTAAAGGGGGACCCCACAGAAAAACACAAACAAGTGGGATTCCTCCCTTCGCATGGAAGTCTTCCCTTCAAATCAGGAGCCCCCCTTCACACCAGAGACACCCTTTTCACATTAGGTGCAACCCTTCACATCAGAGCCCCATTAACCCATTAATATAAGAGCATCCTCCTTTCACATCAGGAGCCTACCTTCACATCAGAAGCCTCCCTTTATATCAGAGCCCCCCCCCCCCCCTTTTACATCAGAGTTCCCCCTTCACATCAGAGCCCTACTATCACAAAATTTCAAGGCACCCCTGAGGAAGTCGGAAGATACCCCAGTGTACCACGACACCCTGGTGGAGAAAAGCTGGTGTAAGCCTTAAACAGCAGCATAAAGCAGTGCCTGCTAGGCATGATGGCGCCAAAGCTGGACATCCAAATCTATTTAACATCGGAAATCCTAAATACTTGGGTCAATTACGATGGTTTATTTTCCTGGAATTGTAAGCAATAAACCCTTAAAGAAGGCCTGATAGACCATGAGAAGAATATGTACTGTATTAGGTCAATGCCATGGTCAATTCAAAATCATCCTTAATGTCAAGAGTACTCAACAGCAGTGTAACCTACATTACGGTCAAGATTTCATTTAAAGCATCATGCTAAGTTCCAGTTTGAAAGTAATAGTTGTCTGGCCCCATAATTGCTTTTGGATGGCATATTCATTGAAATTGTCCCCTGAAACTATTCTTAGCTATTTTTGGCCAGTAACTACCCGGTATGAGAGAACTATACCAAATAATCAAGGAGATCAGCTGGATTCAACCCTACTGCAAGAACTTTTCTTGGAAAATCAGCGTAGGAGTGAGCCTTCCCTAATTGGATTTTAATGTCCCAATTTATAGCCAGCCTGAAGCTTTTTTTTTTTTGCTTTAGTCTAAAAAAGTGAAGCCCAGTTGATAAAGTCTCTTTTGCCTGCAGTGCCACTGTAGGTAAAACAGACAAGAAAAAAAAAAAATGACATGGACTTGATCGGGTAGTATGGGCATATAAATTAGCCATAGGCAGGTAGAGGATGCATTACAATTGTTTTCTAACATAACCAATTTGTCACCATAAAACACCTTTATAAGTCCTCATACACAATGTCCAAATGTAATAAAATTGTTCATTAACATTGCACCAGAGAACTAGACATGTACACTTGTGCATGTTCCTAGTTCTCAGACCTTGCTGTCCAACTGAAAATGTTGAGTTATATACAAATGCATACTGAAGCTACCAAATTGGGTCTGACCATACAAGCTTCAATAACCTGTGATCACATAAGGTATACATATAAATGACTGTTTGTCTAGTTCATGTCCAACGTAGACAATCCTAACACCAGCATTTCTAAAGAACAATAGCAATTGACCTGAAAATTCAAAGTCAAACTGTTAATACTTTTCCAGTCAGACCAGTGGTGTCTCCAGAGGTCAGGTTAGACTAAAGACATTCTATTTTTGGCCATAACAGCCAACAATCATCTTCTTGCTCGCTGACGTTTTAGGCCACTACAAATAAAAAGTTAAAGGGTCAGTCAACCTGAAAAGTGATATTTTGGATTTTGGTGGAGTCTGGTGGGCTGAGTCAACCCCTAGGCTCTAATGTTTCTAGGATACTTCAACAGCAAGATCTCCCTATTATAATGCCCAACTCTCTCCTTGTGCCCCTTGGAGGGCATTCCCAGCCATTTTTACATGTTCCCTATATTACCGGTAGACATAACATGTCTAACAGGGAGAGTGGGACCTCCTCAGCATGGCTACAGCAGGTGTGCACACCAAGGAACGTAAGCACTAATCTCACCAATATAGTCCTTGATAGATGTAACAAACTATGGTTTAGCTCTCCAGCATTTGCCAAAATCTAAAATATCAGTTTTGGAGGACTGACCCATTGACAGCAGTTGGGCAATAATACCAGTTGTACTTCCAATTTGTTCTGCCCAATGATTTCCCTTTGTGTTAGTGCATGTGGTGTTCTTAAACAGAAGTCTATTAATTAGAAGAGGAAACTCCTTTTCATTTACAAAGAACTGTTCAGCAAAACCCCATTCTTTCATAATCAGTAAACCACTTTAAAGTCTTGGCTGATAAATGTACCACCAAGCTGTTTCATATAGAAGCACGCGCCACATAAAAATCTTTGCGTGAATAAAAATACTAATTTGTAGCCGGTAGCTATAGCAACCAGCTATTGTAAGTACAATCCAGGTACACAGCATTAAATATCACAGGCAGATGTAACTTCATTAAATCTTTTTTTATCCTAGACAGCGTAAGTTCACCTAATTGCTCTGTACAAATCTTTCATTAACCTCATCTTTAAAAAGCATGGGTTAATTACCGATGGAGTCTCTCTGCACTTGTCCTCCTTCTATTGTTATTTAAAAGACTAGAACTGAGCTGTCAGTATGAGGATAGAATAGATCCTATCAACCCCAGAGGGAAATATATCACTTTCACTATTTCTGAGACAAAAGTCTTCTCTAACAAGACTGCTTGGATTGTGGACTTCTGGGACCAAGAGAAATCAAGCACTTTATTGCTCAGAAATACCTGGATTAGATTGTAATCTTGAGCCTAAAGGGTAACCCTAGCAAAGTAAACGCACACTACATCATCTAATTAGGAGCAGCATTAAAAGCTTAAGCGCTAATTATATTATTAACGCCTCCAGTACATGCAAACCCTTTAATAAGGGATTACAGATACAATGTAACTCATTCTTGCACTAGATGTACAAACTGTACAAGGCAAAGCAAACTAACAAGTGTTACTTATTGGGGGGTAGAATCAGCCATATGGTAAGCTGTGAAATTCCATTGTAGGGGGAGGACAAGCAAGGCACGGGGTATGAATTGCATTGATGACAGCCTTACCTGTGCTGTTGTAGGAATTGTTTTTCTCCTCTGTGATCAGAACAGTCCTTGACAGATCCAGTACTGAAGCTGTAGCCGGCTGCATGTCCTCATTCAATAGCAGGGACATAGGCAGTGGAGAGCGCAGGTAGAGAATTGTGCGGAGTGGAGATGCCCGTCTGCCTGCCCTGGCTCCTCTTCTCCTCTAAGAGGTTTAATGAAGCATCAATCTTCTGAACGCATAATGCCTGGAGGGACAGGCTGGCCCAGATCACGTCCTGCTATCTCATTAATCTCTAATCTGCAGCGGGCACAAACAGTTAAAGGAGTGAAATATTTGCCCAAGTCTGAGCGCCTGCAAGCTACAAGCTGCGAGTGCGCGCTGTGCTCTGTGTGCTGCAGGCAGCCGCTGCTCGCCGGCGCCCCCTTCAGGCCAGTCTGGAGAACGCACTCTAGGACTCGCTGGTGATGCTTCATCATATGTGGCTGAGTGTGTAAATCAAACATCCTTCATCTGAGGATTGTCAGACTGGCTGTACACAGCTGTATAGAAGCCACTTCTTCCTCTTTCATTACACAAGTGGAAAGGGCCTCATTTATCAAGCTAGATAGGGAGTCGATGAAAGGTTGCCCCGCCAGTCTCCAGCACAGGTTTGCTGGGCGGGTAATGAGAAGGCGGTTGATCAGCAGCCTGTGAAGGGTGATGGGCGAGGGAGATGCATGCTGTGAGCTTGATACCTTTATGGTAAATAAGGATGTCTCCAGCTGGGGACGGCGAATGAATAATAGGAACGTGTTCGCAAAATAAAGTTGTGATGGAGTTGCGTTTCAACTTCAGGTTATAGAAAATGGGCATAGCTTTTAAAGTGGAACGATGAGCGGCCTCCCGTTAAAAAAAAATATTTTTGCTGCAGCACTTCTTTAAAAGCTAAAGTTTAATCTGCTTATATTTTTCATGTCTTCACTTAAAGAGACACTTTACCCATTTCTTCGAAATAACAGCAAACACACCTTTAGAAATGTTTAGTAATGACAATCTACAAACACATACTTCTAGATAATTACCGGCTTTGTATTCTTTGCATACATTATTTTTCTCTTCTTTCCCAGTCATCTGACAGCTGCCATTTTAACTAAGGGCAGGTTACTAGATGTCCCTTTAGGTCCTGGAACATGTGATTAGGAGATATGACCATGCACATCATCTCAGGGGAGGGAAATGCCTTTCCCCCGAGATCTCGTGAGATTACAGATGAGATTTCCCAGTAATGCTCTGCTGATGTAACCTTCCCAGAATGCAATGCTTGGGCACATTACATCATTTGTGTCAAAGTGGAAAAAAAAATTGTAAGTAAAATAAATAAATAAATATAAGTAAGTATATAAGTAAGTAAACTATAAATACTTACCTATATTATAGTTTAACCAATGAATGTAAGATGATGTGATTTTTAGTCAAAGGGGGTAAAGGTCCACTTTAAAGTGACACTAAACTCAGGAGTTAAATCTTAAAAATGCATTCAAGTACACTAACTATTAACAAAAATGTATCTTATTTGTGTATCATTTGGCTGTAGATCCTTAAATCATCTCTGAATTCACACTGACGCCATCATTCCTTTTGGAGGGTGGCTACTTTTGTTCTCCATGGTCCCTGCGTGTGCTCTAAAGTAGCCACTGCGTCAAGCTCACTCCAGGGGTGTACTACAATCTCAATTCAAATGAGTTACAGTAAACGTGTAGTCCATCACGGGATACTGTTCCATGATGAAAAGTTTTAGTTTCTTACAGGACCGGCTGATCTCCTTAGCACTGGCCTGATATCCTCTTTTAGGGTTAGGGCTCCTTATGGGGGGTGGAAAGGGCCGGATTTACTCTCTCTGCTGCCCCAAGGCCAGGTTCCTCAATGCGCCCCCCTACCTGCCAAAATCCAATGTACCCATCGCACTCCTGACCGAATAATACCCTTACATTCGGGTGGGTGCCAAAGTGACTGCAGATGCCTCTACAATCCAAGATAAGTGTATGTATAAAGTCACTCGCACTCCAATAGAATTTCAAATCAAAAACGGTTTATTGACTCGATTGCTATCACATCATATAGCAATCCCCTACCCGCCAAACCCCCCCTCCCCCGAGGAGAATGGCAACAAGATGGCGGGGCGGCAGGGTTGGTTTTAATTTTTATTTTTTTACCTTTTTATCACTTTTTTATTTCTTTAATTTTTATTCGCTTTTTTATTTTTATTTTTTAATTTTCATTTATCTTTTACTTTTTTCATTTTTAAACGCATATGACAAGCTATTTCTGCAACATCACCGGGATCACTTGTACTAAGACACCGGCTTCCCCGCTCTACATTTAGCCCGAAGCAGGGCTAAATGTAGAAAAAACCTACCTGCCCATTAAGATTTTTCATGAAATCTATCCATTTTCAGTGCATACCTTATTTTAGACTCAGTGACATCATCACTGGGTCTCTGTGCTTCTCCGTGCTTCTCCATGTAATGCTGGTTGAAGGAGCCTGCAGGGTGCTTTACATAGCTCAGTACTCCTCTTGAAAGCTTTCAGCCTTAAAGGAGAACTATGGGGAAAAGCCCTGACCCCGTAGTCTATCTAGGGATGCCCTCTCTTCCAGACATATTCATATTTGCATAACTCCTCCAAAGATCCAGCCCACTGTTTACATTAAAGGAGAACTATGGGGAAAAGCCCTGACCCCGTAGTCTATCTAGGGATGCCCTCTCTTCCAGACATATTCATATTTGCATAACTCCTCCAAAGATCCAGCCCACTGTTTACATTAAAGGAGAACTATGGGGAAAAGCCCTGACCCCGTAGTCTATCTAGGGATGCCCTCTCTTCCAGACATATTCATATTTGCATAACTCCTCCAAAGATCCAGCCCACTGTTTACATTAAAGGAGAACTATGGGGAAAAGCCCTGACCCCGTAGTCTATCTAGGGATGCCCTCTCTTCCAGACATATTCATATTTGCATAACTCCTCCAAAGATCCAGCCCACTGTTTACATTAAAGGAGAACTATGGGGAAAAGCCCTGACCCCGTAGTCTATCTAGGGATGCCCTCTCTTCCAGACATATTCATATTTGCATAACTCCTCCAAAGATCCAGCCCACTGTTTACATTAAAGGAGAACTATGGGGAAAAGCCCTGACCCCGTAGTCTATCTAGGGATGCCCTCTCTTCCAGACATATTCATATTTGCATAACTCCTCCAAAGATCCAGCCCACTGTTTACATTAAAGGAGAACTATGGGGAAAAGCCCTGACCCCGTAGTCTATCTAGGGATGCCCTCTCTTCCAGACATATTCATATTTGCATAACTCCTCCAAAGATCCAGCCCACTGTTTACATTAAAGGAGAACTATGAGGTGAGTGAAAAGCACTCACCTCATAGTTCTCCTTTAATGTAAACAGTGGGCTGGATCTTTGGAGGAGTTATGCAAATATGAATATGTCTGGAAGAGAGGGCATCCCTAGATAGACTACGGGGTCAGGGCTTTTCCCCATAATTCTCCTAAGGGTAGCGGGAGGACACAAACTAGCGCCCTCCCTTCACCCAAAGCTCAGTATAACGCGAGCTACAGCTCGCGGTATACCGAGACACCGTAGCCGGAACGGATCCCGACAATTCTGTCTGGATCCACCCAGCTGCGTGAGTGACAGCTGACTCTGCCTATCTAGAGGCAGAGCCAGCTGTACCAGCCCCATCCCCCGTCCGTTCTGCCAGTCAGCGCTGGAGGATCGGACAGGGGAGGGGGAAGCCAGTCCCTCTCCTGTCACGGCTCTCTGCCGGCACAGGATCGAGAAGTAAGCGAGCGCCGGTATGTGTTCGCTCACTTCCTGATCTACTGAGCCGACCTGTGACAGTTTCATTGTCACAGGTCGGCTCAGATTATGAGGCTGAGTGAAAATCACTCACCTCATAATTTTCCTTTAACTATAAATCCCAACATGCCTCTGCCAATCATGCCTGTAACTGTCAGTCTGGCAATGCCTCATGAAACTTGTAGTTCCACAAAAAGTGGAGGGCCGGAGTTGCCCACCCCCCAGGCTAGATGATGCTGTACATCCTCCAGCCAGGAAATGAGTTAGGCTCTATCTGACTTGCTGCAGCATCAAATGCCCATTGGGAAAACCCCGTAGTGTGCAGTGAAACCAGAGTAAGCATTTTCAGCACAAGAGAGGAGCCAATACAGCTATGCAAGACTGAAGGTAAGGCCAGAGTTCAGTTTAAGTTATCAGTTCCGAAAGTTTTCTCTTATTCCCTCTGCAAAGTCCCACAAATACCTGTTGAATCTGCCAGTGAAGTCCATCTAATGCATCTTCCTGTGATGGGGTGGCAACATTGCTACACTGCTCCTGAATTCAGAGCAGAGTTGTCACCTCATGTAGGCTGTGCCTGCTTGCACAAAAGTGGGATGAAAATAATATTGCAGATGTGATTGCAGGATTCAGGAAAGGTAAAATAAGTACTTTGGATTTTTTTAATGAACCTTGTGCAGGGGTAGACTGACCATACGGGCAGTCGGCCAAAGAGGGGGCCCGTCACCAACCCCCATGCCCTTTTCAGCCCGCATGGAAGAGAACGTTGTCTTATTAAAGCGACGACGGTAGTGTCACCTGTCTCCCAGGCCCGCTATACACTGCCATTGCCTCTTTAACAGGGCGGCATCTCCTACAGCGGCACGGGCGAGAAGAGCAACGAGGTGGGGGCTTCTCGTAGTGGATGGGGGCCTGTTGCAGTGGACGGAGGGTGGACCTACCGCCGAGGAGGGACGGAGGCACAGATTCCGCTCGTTTGCGGCCATTATATAGCCGCAAATGTGCGGGATCTGACAGATTATCTCGCTTGCAGTATTTTGTATTAAGCTCCATAAAGCTGCATCCACACTGGAACGGCTGTCCGAATAGGGGCAGAGCCGCTCTAAACAGAAAAAACAATGCACTTTTATGTGCTTTGTACAGACTATTGCGGTATGAAACTGCACAGCCCCCAAAATAGTGCAAGCGCGATAATCCAGCGGATTCTATATAATAGCTGCAAACGAGCGGAATCCTTGCAGTTGTTTCACATACAGCGTTTGCGTCCCGTGCGGTCTTCCGCACGGAAATTCAAACCAGCCGAAGTGAAGTGAGCTGAATGCTGTTCGGCTATTCACTTCAGCCTTGTAGGGCTGATTTCAGCTGTACCTCGGCTAAAATCAGCCGTACATCGACTGCCTTCGAAGTCAGCTTTAGATTGGTCACAGTGCAGAGCCATCTGACAAACTTTAAGAAATGTGGACTGGTGTGCTTTTTATGTCCTGGTCCCCTATGATCAAGTTATTGATTGTATGCAGGGG